TCTAGACAGCTGATCTTATAAATGACATTAGAATGGTGGAGATCAGGTAAAGGATCCTTATGCAATCTGACGAGAGAGTTCAGTTTTGTTTGTTCACAGAGTAAGCCAATCTTCTATTCGCATATTTCTTGATATTCGAAATGAAATTTCTGGGAAAACTTGAGGAAAAAAGGAATGGTGAAAAAAAGGAGAAAGAGTAGGAGAGGAGGAGTATGGAAATGCAAGTCAACGTCATTGCTCTTAGTAAAAATTAAAAACTTGAGTCTTTGAGTAAATCGTTTGAAAAAATGAAATGTATCGGATAACCATTGTTCAATAAAATTGAGATGATAAAAGAAAAATTATCGTTATGAAAACGCGGATGTGAAAATCTAAAAATCCTATCAGTCAAGCCGATAACCACTCCTCTTTTATGTGACAGAGGGTGGTGTGAAAAAAATGAGAGAAGTCTCCCTGAAAAAGTCGGTTTCCTGTACCAATTGAATTCAATGTAATTCTTGTTAATGATAATAGTGTGTGTCCAAGAAATTTATACTACAATTATTAAAGTATTCAATGGTAAAACTCATCTGTTGTGAAGTGAATTAAACATCTGGAAAATGTGATGGATAAATTGTCTAGGAACAGCAAGAACAATGTCGTCGACATAAGCGTATGTAAAAAGGAAGAGAACTGGGAGGGATGAAATTGCTCTTTCCTCCAAATCCGCCATGATAATATCTGCCAAAATCGAGGAAAGCGGGGAGCCCATCGGAGTGCCAAAAATCTGTTTATAAATGACATTATCAAACTTGAAATAAGTGGAATCCATAATCAGTTTAAGAGAAATAACAAATTCACCGTATGGAATACTGATATTCTTTTCAATGAAATGCTATCGTTTCGCAATTCCTCCAATAACCAAATCAAGTGGAACATTGGTGAAAAGACACAAGAAACATTGGTGAAAAGACACAAGAAACTCACAACATCCAAAGACGCCAAGTCATAGTTGTCTTCTAAGTAAAAATTATTAAGTTTTTTAATTAATTCAAAACTGTTTTCGATATGGCTTCTCGGATTCAGCAAATTCTTGTATAGGATGCCGTGGAGAAAAGGCGCCAATAGTATAAAGGACTGTTAATACAAGAGTATAAAGGACTGTTAATACAAGAGACAATCACACGTAACGGGCATTCCTTTTTATGTATTTTTGACAATCCATAGGCATCATGGGTTTGCCCATCATTGCATTGCGCTTTTTGTGCGTTTAAATTCGCCCATTATTTGCGTATTTGACTTTGACTTTTTTGACTTTTTTATCACTATTTATTTTGCTTTGTGTCTTTCCGTCACTTATTATTAATGACTGTTATATTGAATTTTATTTTTGCTTACTGGTATTTTGCGATTTGACATTGATAAGGACCCGAATTAGGTCGAAACGCAGCATTTGTCCACTTGATTTAAATAAAGTTTTATTAGGTTATTATACTAATATAACCGTTTTTTTTATTTTCGCATCTTTTACCTTTGCGTTGGTCCCTTAAGCCTTTTATGAAATTTTGTTGATTTAATAATTAATTTGATTAAGAGATTCGATTTATATTATTATTATTATATATTAGGTTTGATTTCATTTTAATCGCAAAAATCTCATTAATTTATTGCAATTATTTTCAAATCGGAAAAAATGCAAAATATAAAATTTATATTTTTTATATACCGCGGAATCATGCTGTAATATATTCACTGCACGACAGTACTCGTTGTTATTGTCGTGCTTATGCGTAAGAACAAAGCAACGCGGGAAAAGTCTATCATAACGAGTTACATTTTCAACTGAAAATAACGAACATTATATATATATTTACTCAGTATTTTATGGGTATTTATTTAATTTTGTACAATGGTAATGCAAAATGGTTTACTTCTTTATGCTCGCCGACTTTCTACAAAAGGAGGATGGTTTAAAAGCCCAGACAGCACTCGATATCCTATGGATATCCATTTTATGTTAATTTTATGTTGGGGTGTCCATGGATCATATCAAGCTACGCGGTAGCATCACGAGTACATAAAAAAACTAAGTACATAAGCTAAGTACATAAAAAAACAGGTCCAAGCATTGAGGGCCATTGTTCTCGACGCGGCGCTACTAACTTGGTAGTATCAAGTGCCCTATTTAACCCCCTATTTAACGGAAGTGCGGAATTTCACGTCAAGTAAACTTTCGAGTAAGATATTTAATAAACTAAAGCCGAAATAAAAAATCTAACGACATTTTTATGATATAATGAATACAAACTTTCGATTGCGACCTGTTTAAATAAAATCGGTGTAGTCAATCCTGAGAAATGATGATCGAATATCAGAATTATGACATTTTTTCCATAGACACAGTAAGTATAGACCGAGCATCCATTGTATAAGCGTTAAGCATACGAAAAGAAAGACAAAAGATGTAAGATGAGTTTCTTTCTCTTTCCATGCCGGGTAGCACTTCTCCACATCTGCTCGCGCCGGTTTGTCATGGAGGTGCGAGGAGATGGGATTAAAAAGAGAAAGAAACTCATCTTACATCTTTTGTCTTTCTTTTCGTATGCTTAACGCTTATACAATGGATGCTCGGTCTATACTTACTATGTCTATGCATTTTTCGTTCTTCTCTTCCTTTTTCTTCAGATTCAGACTCACGTATATATGCTCGCACGCACACGCGCAAAGCTTTGTCCCTCAAGCGGCGTTCACACCGCTGTGTATACACATACATACACTTTTTTTGTTGTTTAAGAAACCGCATGCACTAAAGGTCAGCATTCATTCTATTAAATTATATAATAATTAAACTATATAAAAAGATAAAATTTAATGAAGAATAAATTTTTGGCTCACGTACGTGCGCATTGTGTGTGCGTATAATATCGACCGTCAACATATACATACCGGACATTCCTGCCGGTGCGTGTACGTTACGAAACTTGAATTTCTTAATTTTACACATAAACTATAAAATCTCATAAAATATTCATTTTTCGATTATATTACTTATACTTAAATATTTTTATACACAAAATAATGAAAGGAATCAATTGATGTATAAAAAACACACATAGCTAACACATAAAAATAACACATTTGGTACTTACACAGATTGATGTCCCGAAAATTTTAAAATTAAATCTAATATTATAGCTGGTAAAATTTGCAACAACATTGTCAACACATAATATATAATTAAACTCTTAGTAAATACAACACGAGGGGTCCAGACAGTTCCTTCTAAAGGTATCTTTTTTAATAATTTTAGTATAATATTTGTTTCGACTTGAAATGATGTACTTTTTTCAGGAAAAGTACAGTTTATGACCAAAAATGTAGACTTTGGTGTAAAACTAATGATAATAATAATATAAATTAATTAATATGCTTTATATATAAGATTTAAAAAGATTACTTTAAGATTCAGAAATATCTTATTGTTAAAAGATAATATATATGAGATTGCTAGAATATCACAATATTATTATAGAATTTCAAAAATTTTATTTCTATATATTTTAAATTCAGTATATTAAGTATAAGTATATTAAATATATTAAGTATATATTAATAATTAAATATTAAATATATAAATATAAAAAAAATGTTGTTGAATTATTTTAAACATCTCTGTTTAATCTTATCCAAAAGAAAATTGTATACAAATTCAATCGAAAATAAATATGTTAGTTTTTAATTCCTTAATGCAAAAAAGCAAATGGAATAATTTAATGTTTGCATAATGATAGCATAATATAAATTTAGTTTGAAATTAGGTTAAGAATGGAAATTAATTAATTTCCCTTCTTAACCTTCCCTTCTTAACCTCGTAGCTTAATACAGTTAGAAATGTATTAATAAATAAATTGATGTTACATACGTTGTTAATCCAAGCTTCCAAGTTACAAGAATTATAGTGTTGATAACAATGTCTATTGGCATGTCATTTTGTGAAGTACAGTTACTACCATATGCTACTCGAAATAATCCTTTTCCACCAAATGCACATAGTCCCATTGGTCCATTAAAGTTATCTATCCATCCTGGGATTGGATCTTTCAACGAATTTGTTACTATAACAAACAGAATATATTTTTCGGATCATTATTATTAGATTATTATATAAAGTATTCCATGATAAACGGGTCCCACTTCAGTAAACAGAAGACATAAAAACAATGATAAAAATTCATATTTACGTATATCCTATCAGATTTTGTTTCCGAGTTATAGTCATGTTGGTATTTCTTATATTAATGATTTCTTAACAAAAAGAATAGATCATGCAGGCCTTATTGGCTAGCCTGTACATTCTCTAGACTAAAATTTATTATATCATTAGGTTTTTATTTGTGACGCGGCTTGAAAATAATTGTTTATTTACAACCCTCCTACATTGAAATACTTTGTCGTATATGAGAAGACTGCCAATCCGATGAATCCGACAAACCTCATATTTTTAAAAAAGTGTAGTATTATATGACATATTTGTATTCAGATTGAAGATAAACACTTCTTAATAAGAGTAAGCAGCTCTATTATTGGAATACAAACATTGGAATATAACATTACAATTCGGAAACAAGAATAAGACACATATACAGAATATTTCAGAATAATTATATCAACGTTCATGAGGCAAAGTAAAGTAAACTGAATAGAAAATCTTTACCATTTTGTAATTTTCATATTACATAATTATTTAATTTTTATTAAAATATTAATTAAAAAGAATTGCATTGCATTCAATCAACAGTGCATTTCGCATGGTTAGATTATAAGATGTACGCGCTGGGCATATCAGAAACGAGCATGGCAACGAAAAGACAAGAGTCGAGATACACATCAAGATTTTCGTTCCCATGCGATAAATTCATATGAATTTAAAAAAATTTATTAAAATCTGTAACAACTGTATTAGATATACTTCTACAAGACATTTTTCGACAATTGAATCTGATAAATGTAAGACTTTTCAAATTTCAAGATGGTTCTGCCATATTGATGCCTATGTAAATTTTCTTTTAATTTAATACTTGCATATCTCTCTAAAAAAATTGTCCTACGGCAATCAAAAATGGATTTAAAAGATGAAGAGTAATACTATACGATGCCATTAGCGAAAATATTTCAAAAAATTATGCTTCCCCGTTAATAATAATAGGCATTTTTAAACTATTTAATCATAAATTACTCAAAAACTTAATGTGTTGGGGAAATTCTGCAGCCAGATTCGTTTCCAGCGTTAAGAAATCTATCAATTCATCTACTCTGTTTTTTGTAATTGAGCTCTAGCAAGTTTATGTATTTATTTCTTTTTTTTTTGACGATTTTGCTGTTTTGCTCTCAACTTTTTGGATTTCTGAAAATTTGTTCTGAAAATCCAATGAAATCCTAACAACACATAATTTTGCTGTTTTGTGTTATCTATCGGAGTGTTTAATCGACTTGAGACCTATCGATACATCAGAATATACAGGATAGGGCAAAAGTTCTGGAACGGTTACATATCTCTTATTCATATAACTAATCTCGAGAGCTCTCTAAAACATTATAATTAAGTTAGTTCTTATTAAGTATCTTCCGAGTTATGAGGCTTGAAATTATTTCTTAATTTTACATAAACCGTAAAATATCTTATAAAATATCAATTTGCAATTAACAATTACATTTTTTTTTCGAAACAATTATGTGTTTTCTTTACACCAATTGATTCCTCTTATTATTTTGTACATAAAAGTATTAAGGTAAGATAATTGAAAAATAAATATTTTTTGAATAATGAAAGGCAATCAAGAGCCAACGCAGTTGTAGGGCGTGGATAAAATAATTTCCAAAGGAGCGATTCAATTCCAACGATCCATTCGCTTTATTCCAAACGTTTCGGACTCAATTCGAGCCTTCTTCAGTGATTCTGATAAAAACAAATAAAAAATACAAATAAAAATAGTATTTTTTATTTGTTTTTATCAGAATCACTGAAGAAGGCTCGAATTGAGTCCGAAACGTTTGAAATAAAGCGAATGGATCGTTGGAATTGAATCGCTGCTTTGGAAATTATTTTATCCACGCCCTACAACTGCGTTAGCTCTTTATTGCCTTTCATTATTTATTTAGTTTTGTTAATTTAGAGGAGCCTTTAACTTTGTTTAATTTATTTAAATATTTTTTTATTATATATATATATGTATATATATATATATATATATATATATGTATATATATATATATATAGGGTGTCCCAAAAGTCCTGGACCGGTCAAATATTTCATAAACTATGTACTTTAGAAAGAAATGTTTCAGACAAAAGTTGTATGGCTTGAAGGGGGAAACACAATGTTGTTTTAAAAAAAAATATGTAATTGTTAATTGCAAATTACATATTTTTTTCTTAAAAACAACTATGTTTTTTCTTTACACCAATTGATTCCTCTCGTTATTTTGTACATAAAATTATTAAGGTAAGATAATCGACAAATGAATATTTTACCAGATATTCTACGGTTTATGTAAAATTAAGAAATGATTTCAAACCTCATAACTCGAAAAGTACTCAATGAAGAAATATTTAATTATAGTGTATTGGAAAGCTCTTGAGATAAGCTACACGAATATGTAATAATAAATAGGAAGTTTCATTTAAGAAATTGACGATGATCTTCACATGACTTTCAAATGATTCTCCCACGTCAAATCATTGCCACTATCTGATGGCCCCCTTTAAGCCATACAACTTTTGTCTGAAACATTTTACGTTTATGAAATATTCGACCGTTTCGGGACTTTTAGGACACCCTGTATATATAGATAGTAAATATATGTAAGAATTAGATATTTTTACCCATTTCATATAGATACATTTCTAGGTTTATTGATTTTTTGAGTTTTCTTTTTGACTTGCGAATCCGACCGTTATTTTTAAGTTTCATATTCGTGTTCAAAAGGTAAAAATACTAATAAATAGGAAATAGGAAATACTAATAAATAGGAATTGGGTATTCTTACCCATTATTTTATATAGGTGGGTTTTCCGAAAGTTTACCATTTAATTAAGTATTTAGATTTATTTTATAAAATAATTAAATTAATTATTGTAAGTAATAACACATTTAAATAATATTTATATAACAATGATAGGAATGCAACAACGCATTAATGTAAATTTGGCATTAAATATTTGTACGATTTAAAAATTTTCTATTTTTATTTGTATATCACGTTCATGGTATATATATAATTTTGTATTTTATTGTAATGTACTAATACAAATATTAAACGTTAAAACTTTTTATAAAGAGAAGGACAAACTTCTAACTTGTTTAAAAAGTATTAAAGAAAAAAAGGAAGGCTCATATTTTTTTCTCCATGTCTTTTTAATATAGGAAAAAACCTACCTATGGATGGTCTCACAATCGCACACGGCAATGATGAAGAATATTCATGTATTACACTTTCCGCTAAGTTTTTCGAGAATAGATAAGTATTAGGAATATAATCCAAACATCTGTACATAATTTCAAACGTTTATGGCAAATTAAACATCTGTATATAATTTCAAATGTATATGGCAAATTAAAAGATTAAGAGTAATTGAAACAGTATGATAAATGTAAAAAAATTATTTTGTCTTTAATTATATTTCACATATTATATTTGAATATTTTATATATTTATAAAATTTATATATATACATATACATATACATATATATATATATATATATATATATATATATATATATATTCAATTTATATTTGACATATTTACTTAGCTGTAAAGATACTGAGGTTATGTTCATCCAATATTTCGGCCACTTTGATCATTTTCCGCCAATCAGCTATAGGTGGATACACTTTTTCTTCTATAAACGGATTATCCAAATGTACATATGCTGTGCCAACATATACTAGAGCCTTTAATATGAAAAACAATTAATATTAAAATTATGCTTTATCCATAATATTATAATTAAAAAGTTTATAGCAAAATATTGAGGCATGTTTACAATTAATTAAGAAATCTGTCATATGAGAACATTTCTTTAAGATACACCGAATAAACATAATTTTGAAAAATAAAAAGTATTTTTAAAAAGAAAGATATATAATGATAAGTTAATATATCGCATAAAACATCTATGGAAGATAATTTACACACATAAATATACGAATACACAGAATTAATTTACATTTACTTATGTTCAAAACGCCCTCGCTAAAAGGAGCGAGGGTCCGAGCGATCATTCGGCGCCCCTGGCAGCCGTTAGCGCGACATCGCTTTGTCAGCGCAATTTAAAAACAGCGCTTGCCCTTCTCGAAAGATCCAAGGAAAATAAATAAATTCTTAACCGTTCGTTTTGAACATTTATATTAGTTCACGAAAAATCGGGATCTTTCGAGAAGGGCTCCGCTATAAATTGACGCGCTCGCGGAACACGGCGCTTCTTGGCTTAAAGGTACTCGACGCACTCACTTATTTTTCGATCACGAGAAAAATCGTTCTTCCGTTGCTCGCGGATTGAATCAGTCGTCGCCGTTGCTCGCGGATTCTGAAATCGCTTTCGCGTAATTAATTTAAGACTGTGTATTATAATTAGTGTTATAATTGTTATAATAAACTGACTATTATTGTTAAAAGACCTAGATTATCGTCGAATTAATTTCTCTTCGTTCTCTCTCCTCGCGGATTTTTATCCTTCGGTTTCGCGCTTGCCTCCCGCGTCAATCTCGCATAAACTCTATCATTTGCTGGTCCTTCGAGCCGGATATTTAGTGACCGGTTTTTCTACGACGCGGAGTGAGTGCGAAGTGTTGTGGTTCTCTGTGCTCCGAACACCAGTCACCTGAAATTCAGTCATCATGAGTCGCAAGGCCGAGTTGACAATCACCGCTGCAACGGATCTCTACGGCAAAATTGCCCGTACTCACGAGAACCTGATGAAGCTGGGCGCTGCCAAGATCACGGTGGGCGCAGTGGAGGCGCGATTGCAGTCCTTGGAAAGGTACTGGACGAAGTTCGACGCGCACAACGATGAGCTCTTGAATTATCTCGACCAAGTGGCCGATTCAGAGTACATAAGACTCGACATACCTGCTCTGGCTGAAGAGGCCTACCTCGCCAATAAGGGCCTGCTGTTGGACCTCCTGCGTAACCTCAAGACGGAAGAGAAGGAAGCTGGCACGAGAGGGTCAGAGCCGTCCTCGCAAGCACCCCGCACGACTCTTCCGAGGATCCAGCTGCCTCATTTCTCCGGGAAGTACGAGGATTGGCCAGCCTTCCGTGATCTCTTCCAATCGCTAATCGGAAGGGACACTCTCACGTCCTCAGTCGAGAAGCTCCACTACCTGAAGACATGCCTGAAAGGAGAAGCAGAATTATTGATTCGAAGCCTGCCCACGACAACCGAGAATTTCGAACGCGCATGGGATGTTCTCGTTGCTTACTATGAGAACAAGCGGCTCCTGGTGCGCAGTTACATCTCCCAGTTTACGTCACTCCAGAAGCTGAAGAGCGAGTCCGTGGTGGAACTGCGCAAACTTTGCCACAGCGTGAAGAGCACGGTAGGATCACTGGAGAGCATTGGGCGCCCGATCACGAAGGGTGAAGATCTTTTCGTGCACCTCGTCGTTGACCTGCTTGATCCTCGATCTCGCCGCGAGTGGGAGAATTTCATTAGTGATTCCAACGATCCACCCTCGTACGACAAACTCCAGCTCTTCTTGGATCGTCGGCTGCACACTTTAGAATCGTTGCAGCCTGTCAAGGTCGAAGCCATTTCTTCTAAACCGCATCCAAGTCCGACACAGAAGACTCGCACTCTTCACACGCGTAAGCAGGACAGTAAGCGAGGTCGCTGCTCCCTATGCGGTCAGGATCACTATATTATGTTCTGTGACCTTTACCAGAGCAAGACGGCGGAGGAAAGGAAGCGTCACGTCGAGGCGAACGACTTGTGCCTGAACTGCCTAGGAAGGCACAAGGTAAGCGAGTGTTCTTCTCAAAAGACTTGTTCGTCGTGTCGCGCGCGTCACCACACGACCCTCCACGAGGCATGTCCGTCCGGCGAGAGCGCTAAGACGTCACACTTAGCGCAACACAAAGTCGAGGCGACGACGACAGTTCTCCTCGCTACCGCGCGCGTTCGCGTCCTGGACCGGTTCGGCCGCGCTCACACTGCACGCGCACTAGTTGACCAGGGCTCGGAGTCCTCGCTAGTTTCCGAAGCTTTGGCCCAACGTCTTCGCCTAGGTCGGTCTCCTACCTCCGTCGCCGTGTATGGAATCGGCGGCAAGCAGACGGGCCTCGCCCGCGGTCAAGTCACTCTTCAGATCCGCTCCCTGCGCGACGGGCCTTTAATAAGCGTGGCCGCCTTGGTTTTCCCCCGGCTCACACTTTATGAAGGCGGAATCAAGGCCAATCGTCGGGCGTGGACGCACGTCCATGGGCTGGAGCTCGCCGATCCGGACTTCTTGGCGACGGATCCCATAGACATCCTTCTAGGAGCAGACGTCTACGCCATGATCCTCCAGGCTGGACTTCGACGAGGGAAATCACGGGAACCTGTGGCACAAAAGACGGCGCTGGGCTGGATATTGTCTGGGGCCGTCGGTACGACGTCCACATCGCGCCATGCGTCAGCACATCACTGCCTGGTCGAGGAGGACCTAGGCGCTCTCGTACAAAGGTTCTGGCAGCAAGAAGAGCTACCCGACGCCGCGGTAGCTCTCTCACCCGCGGATCAACAGTGCGAGAACTTCTTCCGCCAGACACATTCGCGGTCCGCGGACGGTCGGTACGTCGTACGTCTGCCGGTCGTTGCCCCGCTGCCAGACTTCTCGGTGACGCGCTCCACGGCTTTACGAGTTCTCTTCAGCATGGAGAGACGTTTCGCTCGGGATCCTCCTTTTCGAGCCCTCTATGCCGACTTCATGCGGCAGTATGAGGACCTGCGTCATATGTCTCGCGCGACTCCGGACGCTACGTCGCGCAGACCGGTGCATTACTTGCCGCATCACGGCGTGCTGCGGAAGAACAGTGTCACCACGAAGCTGCGCGTAGTTTTTAACGGCTCCACGCCAACTACTTCGAAAAGAACCCTCAACGATCACTTGATGGTGGGTCCGAACTTGTTGCCTCCGCTCGCCGACGTGCTACTCCGTTGGCGACGGCACCGCTTCGGTCTAGCCACCGACGTCGAAAAGATGTTCCGACAGATCTTGGTACACCCGGATGACAGGGATCTGCAAAGGATCCTGTGGCGGGATTCCCCGCAAGACAGCCCTGCCGAGTACCAGCTGAGCACAGTGACCTACGGCCTAGCGTGTGCTCCGTTTCTAGCGATGCGCGCTCTCAGGCAATTAGCTGAGGACGAGGGTAAGCAGTACCCTCTAGGAGCGGCCGTTCTCCTGCGAGATGTCTACATGGACGACATCTTAACCGGAGCAGCGACGATGGCGGAGACCCAGGAGATGTGCAAACAGCTGTCCAGTATCTGCATGGCGGGCGGCTTCCCTCTCCGGAAGTGGTCAGCCAGCGACTCAGCGGTGATCTGGGATATCCCGCCGGAGCACCAGTTGCAGCGCGAGACCCGTGACTGGCGACCACACGAGGCTCACTCCACCTTAGGACTGCAGTGGCACCCCGCCACGGACGATTTCTCTTTCGCCACCCGGCACATCGCACTGCCATCCGTCACCAAGAGGTCTGTACTGTCTCTGGTGGCGCAGCTATTCGACCCTCTCGGCTGGCTAGCACCGGTCGTGGTCCGCGCCAAGATTGCCTTCCAATCGACTTGGCTTCAAGGACTTGAGTGGGACGCTCCGCTCGACGACGCCTCCGCGTCAGCCTGGGTCACCTTTCACGCCCAGATACCAGTACTCGAGCAAATCCGAGTACCTCGCTGGATTAATCTGGGTCCTTCTTGCACCCGCATCGAGGTCCATGGCTTCTCCGACGCCTCAGAACGAGCATATTCCGCCATCGTGTACCTAAAAACATGGTCAAACGACTCGTGGATTGTCCGCCTAATCACCGCGAAAACAAAGGTCACACCGCTCAAACAGGTGTCCTTACCTCGTTTGGAGTTAAGCGCCGCCGTCCTTCTCTGCCGACTAGCCAAACACGCCTTGACAATCCTCGACCTGACTGCGCCGCTTCACCTATGGACGGACTCCACCGTCACGCTGGGCTGGATCCGCGGCCACCCATCCAGGTGGCAAACCTACGTCGCGAACCGCGTCTCAGAGATTCAGAGGACCACTCCGCAGGCTGCGTGGCATCACGTTCCAGGCCAGGACAACCCAGCGGACTGCGCTTCCCGAGGTCTCTCTCCCAAGGAACTGCAGAGCCATCCTCTGTGGTGGCAAGGTCCGCCCTGGCTACGCTTAGACGCCACCGCATGGCCGACCGCCGTCGGCCACATCACCGAAGAGCACCTGCCGGAGAAGCGCACACGAGTCCATGTCAAAGCCACAGCAGCGCCGATGAGCGAGGCCGCCGAGCTGGTGCGGTTCTCCTCCCTGAAGAGGCTCCTACGCGTGACAGCCTGGTGTCGGCGGTGGCTGAGAGTAAGAGAGGATCGGTCCACTGGCACTCAGCAGCGCTTCCCCAGTACTTTGTCCGCAGAGGAGATAGAGAGAGCTCGAGTTTGTTGGATCCGGCGAGTACAATCTGAAAAATTCAGGGCCGAGTTAAAATTAATAAGTCAGGGCCTTGCCTTAAGTAAATCCAACTCACTTGCTCGCTTTAGTCCCTTTTTAGGTACCGAGGGTCTCCTGCGAGTCGGGGGTCGACTCAAGCACTCCATCCTAGCCTATGACGAGCGCCACCCCGTCCTCCTGCCGAAGGGCTCGCACCTCACTCGGCTAATTGTGGACGACTGCCATAAACGAGCGTTGCACGGCGGAACACAGCTCACTCTCTCATTAATCCGCCAACATTATTGGATTCCACGGGGTCGAGCACTGGTCAAGGAGGCTATCCTGCGATGTCTCCCTTGCGTGCGATGGCGGGCGGCGACACCACAACAGCTGATGAGCGATCTTCCACGGGAGCGCGTGGTACCAGCGAGGCCCTTCCTGCACACTGGGGTCGATTATGCCGGGCCGATTCAACTTCGCACAACCAAGGGGCGCGGACACCGCTCCTACAAGGCCTTCGTAGCGGTCTTCGTCTGCCTTGCTTCCAGAGCCGTACACCTCGAAGTAGTCTCCGACTACACGGCCGAGGCCTTCCTTGCGGCCCTCAGGCGGTTCGTCTCTCGCCGAGGCATCTGTCGCAGCCTTCGAAGCGACTGCGGGACAACCTTCGTGGGAGCCGATTCCCAGCTGACAGCCCTCTTCACCGCGGGCACGCCAGAAAACCACCGGATCATCGACAGCCTCGCCTCCGAGAGGATCGAGTGGAGGTTCAATCCTCCCTCAGCGCCGCACTTCGGAGGCATTTGGGAAGCCGCAGTCAAGTCGCTCAAACACCATCTCCGACGAGTGATTGGCGACGCCAAGCTGACGTTCGAGGAGATGAGTACCTTCCTCACTCAGGTAGAAGCGTGCCTTAATTCGCGGCCGCTGCAGGCACTCTCGGACGACCCTGAGGACTTGGCTGCGCTGACGCCTGGACACTTCCTGGTGGGAGCCGCCCTGACTGCAGTGCCCGAGCCGTCCTTGCTGGATGAACCAACGTCCCGCTTATCTCGCTGGCAGCTCCTGCAAAAAATGAGAGACCATTTTTGGGAACGCTGGTCGAAGGAGTACCTCCACTCCATTACTCACCGTCCTAAGTGGTTGCGCGAAGAGACGGGCTTCAAGGTCGGCCGACTTTGCCTCATCCGGAACGAACTCACACCACCCACGAAATGGCCACTCGCGCGTATCGCGAAAATCCACCCCGGAGAGGATGGTCAAGTTCGCGTAGTGACATTGCGCACCGCAGCCTCCGAGTTGGTACGACCCGTCGTGAAGCTCGTCGTGCTCCCCATCAACGGTCATGGAGATCACGAGCCTCCATCGCAGTAGTTCGGAGCTCCCGACGAGCTGCATATCCTCCGCTAGCCATTCTTTTCGCCAAACGCTCTTGGCGAGGCGGGCGGAAATGTTCAAAACGCCCTCGCTAAAAGGAGCGAGGGTCCGAGCGATCATTCGGCGCCCCTGGCAGCCGTTAGCGCGACATCGCTTTGTCAGCGCAATTTAAAAACAGCGCTTGCCCTTCTCGAAAGATCCAAGGAAAATAAATAAATTCTTAACCGTTCGTTTTGAACATTTATATTAGTTCACGAAAAATCGGGATCTTTCGAGAAGGGCTCCGCTATAAATTGACGCGCTCGCGGAACACGGCGCTTCTTGGCTTAAAGGTACTCGACGCACTCACTTATTTTTCGATCACGAGAAAAATCGTTCTTCCGTTGCTCGCGGATTGAATCAGTCGTCGCCGTTGCTCGCGGATTCTGAAATCGCTTTCGCGTAATTAATTTAAGACTGTGTATTATAATTAGTGTTATAATTGTTATAATAAACTGACTATTATTGTTAAAAGACCTAGATTATCGTCGAATTAATTTCTCTTCGTTCTCTCTCCTCGCGGATTTTTATCCTTCGGTTTCGCGCTTGCCTCCCGCGTCAATCTCGCATAAACTCTATCAACTTACTATTAAATTCTTTATATTTTCGGCTAAAATACATATATCTCTCGTTGATCTGGTATTGGTAAAGATAGCATATTTTAAGCTGTCATTAAATTTCACACTTGCTGCATTATGAATTATTATAGTTACTCGTTCAATCAGCATTTGTCTATCGGCAACAGATAAATTGAAATTTTCTTGACTGATGTCACCAAGAACTGGAATTAATTTCTTAAAATTTAAAGACTGCTTCTCTCGTAATTTATCAAACAACTGGAAAATGAAAAAATTATATTACGTATAGAATATTTTTTTATAAAAAATTTGTCATAAATTTTTAAAGTATTTTTAAACGCAAAAATTGTAAAATAATTTGATGACTTCTCCTACAATTTATTATTTTTAATGTTTCTCCATGTTTGATCTTATATAATTTTTATTAGTATGTTATAATAATATTTCTAAAAATATTGTGTGTTTTGTAAGAGAAATTTATTTCTAACTTACTGGTAAACTTAACATTTTCTCAAGTCTTTCGTTAATGTTTATGCCTTTTTTCGGGCGCATTAATATAAATATTTCTCGAACATCCGGGCAAGATCTTAATATCTTCTCGATGTACACTTTGCCTATAAATCCTGTTGCGCCTGTTAAAAATATACTTTGTCCAGCGTAAAATGACGGAATCGACTTGGTTGGATCGACTGTATTCTTATCCATCGTTATTAAAATGAAAGAAACAGAATAGTATTAATAAGAGCAAAAAATATATGAACATATATCTAAAAGAGCTTTTGTTCTTTCTAAATCGATATCGTTACTAAACAGTAATCTAAGATTTCGATTATATACTAAAGCTAAACACGTGACTGAAATTGTATGTATTCATAAATCGGAAATCGAGGTCAAAGAGGTAAAAGAATAAATACATGCAACGCAGGCAAATTATGTTTTCATTAAAGTTAACAATAGCATGACAATAGTTTGCAAAATCATGATATATAATTTATTCTATTTAATATATAATTTGTTTAAATTTTTCAATGTTATAAATTACACTCACATCAAAAATATGTACAATAATTTTTATATTAAATTTAGAAATGATTTTTAAATAAAAATAGGCAAATTTAGCAAAAATTTTGAATCGATAGAAGATGAGATATCTTACATACAACTGAATCGTTTAATTAAATATTGTATAACATAGAAACGCGCAAGATATTTAAAATATGTATATATGAAAATACACTGGTTAACACTGGGAAATTAATATTCTAAAAATTTACCTTTCTAAAAAATGTAAAAAAAGTGCCAAGTTCATGCGGCAACAAATTATTTCAATATAATTACATATATTTTATAAAAATAATATCAAAAAATTACACCAAGAATATGTCGTCTCAGTGCTGCTAATATTGTAGCCTAAAGAATCACCAGCTTGAATTAAAATTATGTCGTAACATAATAAAAATTCGATGAATTAAAATTATATCTGGACATAAATATAATTGTGAATTTTTATTATGCTCCGACATAATTTTATTTTCATAAATTAATTTTCTACAATTCTTCATAAATCTTGAACATCTTGAAAATATAAAATAAAATTGATATCTATAAAAATGTATTAAATTGTCTTTTTCAGCATAAAAATAATTTCACATAATAATTTAAAATACACACAATTTTAGATGATCTCAAAAAATAATTTATATATTACTTTTAAATGTTAATAAAAATGTGAGCATTTTAAATGCAATACAATAAAAATTACAAAATATAAAAGATTTACTTGCAATATTTTACCATACAGTTTAAATGTGTGTATCAAAAAATTTGTTTTAATTTTTAATAATTTATTTGCAAAATAAAAATATTTTGTTTTTATGTAATAAAATTAAATTATATTTCTGTCAGCACATAATAATAATGCCATAAAATTGCTATCTTTACCTATGTTAAGGTAAAATTTACGTTTGATATCATTTTAAATAATTTTTTTTATGTGTTTACATAATAATAATGTTTCCAAATAGTTTCTTTATTAATTTAAAATATTTTGTAATTTACACAATTTAATGATATCGATTTTTTAGATAAAATAGATTTAAGCAACAAAATATACATGAAATAATACATTTTGTATGATGTTTCTCTTCAATAAGAAAAATACAACGGTTTTATTTATTCAGTTTTTTGAGAAATGTAAACTTGACACCCTTTTTTTCTTTTCGTTAAATATCAAATTTGATATTAATTTAAATTTCACAAATTTCATTTCACTCTCAACCATAAATTATATATAGCAGTAAAATAATTAATTAAATAATATGAATAAATATGTGCAGAAAAATATTCCAATAATATTTTCAATTTTTTATTTTTTTGATATCTTTTATTGATAGAATAAAGATAAAATAAAAATGAAATATAATATAAAGATTACACTTATGAAATATGATGAATTAATATGAAATATAATATGAAATATAAAAACAGATTATAAGAGATTTATCTTATCTCCTTATTTTCTTTTGTTTATATTATATATGTCACATTGATAAATTAAAATTAATATATTTTTTCGATTATATTATTAAAAACGTTTAATTAATTAAAAAGAAGAATTATTATTAATTAATAAAAAAGAGATTTGCTACAAAGAGTAAAAAGGACAGAAAATAACAAAGAAAAAACATTGAATTGCGTCAGTTATTGTGTATCTCTTTAATATGTTAGATGCAACTGTTTAATGGAAATGAAAACATTGATTTACGTCAATTATTGTGTGCCTTTTTAATATGTTAGATGCAACTGTTTAACCTTTATCTAGTTATGCAAATGTACAGTAGGTGCATGAATCATAACTGTTAATTTTAAAAAGGAACCGACAACTTATTTTGGAATTGTATCCACACACATCTGTTTAACAGTTTTAAATGCAATTTATAATAGATTGTAGGCATAATTTCAAAACAAATATTGTCAATTCCTTTTCTAACTAATAGTCATGATGCATGAATAGCTTAATGAAATGCGTTTAGTTATTACTAGCCTCGAATGTGACCAATTTCATATGTTAAGGCATTATTGGCGCCTACTGTATCTAACGTTAACATTTAATGAATATAAAGTTGAAATCAGATAAAAGATTTAATTACGATTTAAAAATTTGCGTACGTAAAAATTAATATATTTTTAAAATAACTATTTTTGAGATGCACGATAATAAATGTTTTATGGCTTACAATAACTTAGAATAATAAGTTTCCGCAATATAAATTATTGCAACTTTATTCTGCAAAATATTAAACGTTTGCGTAACTAGGCAAAAATTAAACAGTTGCATGAAGTCAAGGTTTTTCGCTTTTGACTGCATAATTATAAAGTTGGAGGTGAAAAACCTTGACTTCATTATTAATGCGATTGTATAATCTATATGCAAATATGTTTAGCAGACTTACCGATAAAATACTATTAAAAACAGCGAGTCTTGTAGAAGTTAGCATAACTTAAAAAAAATTAGCTAGCATGCATTACTGTAAGTAGCATTACAGTAAATAAATCTTTATGTTATTGTTAATAAACTTTTTTGTTTATGGGGGTGGAATTTGAGCCGTCTCCGACGCTTGCTAGCGTCGCGACGCCTTCCGAAGCCCGCAATCCATCAGGGGAAAATATTAGCGACAGCATTTAAATAACCAAGTTTAAAGCTCAAACAGCTGACGGACGAGACATAAACACCGGTAGGAAACGCGGCAAAAACGCCCCAGACAATCCGCGTTAATAAAAAACTCAAGCGTACCGTACCGCTAGACGAGCGAACGTATATTGCACATATTCGTATATTATACACTAAGAAAAAATTAATGTTGAACCAACAACATCAATGTAATTAAAATTTATTTTATTAATTCAATAACATTTTTAATCAAATTAATACACCATGTATTGATTTGATTAATACTATCGAATTAATAAAATAAATTCCAATTACACTGATGTTGTTAATTCAACATTACTTTTTTTCAGTGTATTGTTTCCGCGTCGCTAATTATACGAATCGAAATCTCCGTAAGACCCGTGACACGTCCACGGCTGAAATATAACCCACGGGCTCGCTATTAAGACGTAACTTCACCGATTACAAGTGCGTCAATTATTTCACGCCGGAATTCCGTAAATTCTCGGTCCGCGTCGATTATATCTCGATCCGCTGCGCGTCGATACGAACGCACACACACACGCGAACATTGTAAACTCACGAACTCGCATACATCTATACACTCACACAGAGAATAAATAAATACATTTTATTACACATACACACGCCGATGGTTATTTTACTCGTCATCTGGATTCGACGGCTATTCAAAAATTAGAAATTTCGCGGTAGGAAAACCGCACGTTATAGTATTAAGCATAGTAACAAAGTTTTAATAATTAATTTAATTTGTATTTTATATTTTAAATTTTTGTTGTCACTATAATTTCTATGAAATATATAAAATATAATTAAATATATATAAAACTTTTTATATAAATAGATACAAAAAATTAATTAATTGAATCTAAAATTATATAAGACAGATAATTATTGCAGAAATAATTTTACCTCTCAACAATCCATTGATGTTTATGCTTGAAAACTATTATTTCTACGAAGATTATTAGGCATGCAATCACTATAATATACTATGTGTGTATGTGTCATTATCTATTCGTTTAATCGTTCTATTTGTATTATTTTTCGATTTAAAATTATAAATATTTTCTTTTGTATTAATTTCTATGTGTTTATTCCTAAATATTGATGATTTTTTCAGGTTACAATATCTGGAAAAATAATACCAATTAATCGATTAAAACTTTGTTAGCTGATTAAAAAATATTATATTAATGAAAAAAGTTTATTATATTAATTTGTTGTAAAAATTAAATATCAATAAATCAACTTAATAGATAGAAAAGTAAAAATATATAATATAAAAAGTATAAGTACATAAGTATAATATTAGTAAATTACTACTTATAATAATAAAAAGATATACATATATTATTATATTTTATATAAGATACAGAATTTACATTTTATATAAGATGCAGAAATATTATTCAATCATACTTACATTTCTGTATTATTTTCTGTGTTGAAACAAAAATAAAAAATAGAGATATAGTCATTATATATATAATTACGGAAATACAATAAATCTATAGAGTTACAATATAAACTATCATCTTACTTGGAATTAAATTTGTAAAAATAATAATACATATGAGTTGGAGGCTTGCCACGGCCCTATTTTAGGGTCCATCCACCACTGCTATTTGATGGATGGATTCCAGTGGAGATTTTAGTATATACTAGAGAGATCTTGTAGGATGGCGATGATCTTGGTCTCTATGGCGTTGTACTCATCGGTGCCGTTTCATACGGAAGGCCAGTCGGAAGCCAGCATGCACGCGAATACCTCCGGCACTTATTTGGTCAGCGAGCGACCTTTCAGGAATCCTCCATGGCAATCGGCATTGCATCGAATGAGATACCAACATCGCTTCGAATTGCATATCGCTGTGTTAAAAAACAGCATTAGGTGTGAGGTCTGGATAGTTTAGTGGTCTAGAGCAATTGCCCGGAAAGCGAAAGACTCGGGTTCGATTCCCGATCCAGCCACTTGCGCCTCACATATTTTTCTATGTCTGCGAATATTAAGTTTTCTAGCAATTATTCGTTAGGCTGAAAAATATGTGAATGCTCTCTCCACAAGATATGCATCAACGCCGTTGCCACGGATAGATTG